GTGAAATCTGCCTCTGCACTGCAGTGGCCTTGACTGGAGTGAGCAGAAACTAATACAAGAAGTAAGCCAGTAAGAGCCTCTTGAGATGAAAAACATTAGAGCAGGTATTAGGTGCAGTGAAATGAAAAACACTAAAAATAATTCAGATTCTTAAAGTTTTTGATTGCTGAAGTAATAAGATTTCTTTTAACTTAGAAATACAAAAGAATCTTAATCTTTTGGAACAAGGAAGGACAGGAGATTGCCAAGTAAACAGAAGCCCAGTGGTAAATCAGAATTGGGCAAGGGCCAAAAGAAAGGTATCTTTTCAGGGCAGGGACACCTCTTCAGAAGAGGGAGGAGAGGAGGAGATCCAGATGGGTAGGAACCCTCAGCCAATTGCTGCACTTGTATGTAATCCTTGAAAGCTGCCAGTGCTAAGCAGCTGCTTCTAAAGTTGGGAATTGTTTCTAGTTTCTTGTCAGGGATCATATAAAATTGTCCATTCCCCACAGTGGTGCAAGCAGTATCTCCAGCACCACCATATTGCATGGCTCAGGTGAGGTGGGCAACCACATCCTAAGGTGCCTCTCCCCCACTGCCTCCCTCCCCCCACAAGCAAAGTTAATTCCTCTGCTATGGGCTGTTGGACAGAGCACATCTCATGTCTCGTCTCAGCCAGAACCTCTCTCCAAGGAGAAGCTTCCTAAATATGCCCCTTTCTCCCTTTCATGTAACTCAGACTATTGCCTCTCTTGGACTAACTCATATGACAGTAGCTGGTGGACTGGGGGGCTCAGGTTGAGTCCCATTGCTTGGCACGGGACTGGCAGTGGTTGAGGGAGGCACAGTCTCCACAGAATCTCCTGACTGGATCTCAGGGGTCCTCTGTGGGCTGGGCTCCTCAGAGTGGTCCATGTTGCCTTGGACTTCCTTCCCTCTTTGGATCAGCTGCTCCAAAGTCTTGGGCAGAGGGTAACTCAAGAAGCGCTTCAGTTTGGGCTGGAGGGTGCCTACCACGTACTGGATAATTTCCTCCTCATCAGCATCAACATAGAGGGTCTGGTACAAGTCTCTCTTGCGCCAAAGGAACTGGTCCAGGGGTTCCCCCTCTTTCTGGGGCAAATCCAGCTCCCGTTTGATAGCATCCCTAGTGAGAGTGCCCTCACTGTATTGCAGGAACTCCTTCTTGAACTCGACCCAGTTCTTTACAGAGTCCTGCTTGTATTCCCACCACTTCTTAGCTGGGCCGTTCATGTGGTTTTGGATCTGAGACAGCCAATATTCTTCTGTTCCACCCACCTGCTTTAAGTATTCCTCCAAGTGGCTCAAGAACTCCCGGGGATCCTCAAAGACCTGGGTCTCCACTGGGGAGGCTGGAGCATCCTCTGACACAGAGACCCACTGGTAAGAATCATGTGCCTGGGGGATGCTGGGCACCTCCCCAGGAGGAGGGGTCAGGGCATACATTTGGCTCATATCAAGGGCATAGTCATAAATCTCACCCTCACTTGGCCTTATCTCTGGGCCTCCCACCCCAACAGACACAGTCTGCTTGCCTTGGTCCCCAGGGCAATATTTGCCTCCCATGGACTCCAGGCGGTCTGCCCACTTCTCCAGACGGAAAAAGACCTCCTTCCAAACATTCATCTCTCTCTTGACCCACCTCTCCAGATGGGCAATTGTTTCCTGGCATCTGGCCAGGCAGGCCTTGATGGACTTCTTCCATCTCTGATTATCAGTTGGGACATGGTCCTCTAAGTTGTTCTCTAACTTCCCCACTGATTTCTGCAACCCTTTTAGCTCACGCTCCACCTGCTTGGAGACTTCAGTCAGGAGGTGCCGGTGGGTCCTCCTGACGTGCTCCAACATTTCTGCCCTGCATTTCCCTATCTGCAGGATCACATTGGGCTTGTTGGCAACTCCACGGTGCCCCTGGTAGGAGTGGATGCCTGCATTGGTGACATTATCCAGCTGCATGGCTCCGACCGTGAGAGTGGCAAACACAGAAAGTACTGGCTTGTAAACCCTGGCACTAGAGCTGGCCCGCAAAAAACCCCACCACAGCACTTCCCGAAAGACACACAGAAACTTCTAAACCCCACCCAAAGGACTTTTCAACACAAACACAACTAAATCAGGTATCACCACAGAGCGAGCTTTTCGGTCCCTTTGGATTCCCGAGAGAGAGCTGTAGGTCAGTTTCTCCCAGTGCCCCACTGGAAATGCCGATCTCACGTGCTCAGAGTGTCCCAGAGAGAGTCAGGATCCTCCAGGAATACGGAGAGGAGTTAACTAAGACGTCCAGCCCCACACTTACACCCACTACCTGTTCATCCAGAGCTGAGAATCTCGAACGGCAGAGAGTCCTCACTGGAGAAAAACAGAGATGCACACAGAAGCTGGAAGCTGCTGCAAAAATCCTGACGATTTCTCCTCTGGGAAACTTGGCGACGCTTTCACTGGAGATGCAAAGATCTGCTTCTCTTCCCTGTCTGAACTGCCACTAGTCCAGGCTCTTCCATCTACTTATACCCCACACAGCTCAACATGTGGGCGGTGTCCTGCCTCCTCTCGCACTCCCAGCGCAGTGTTCATTGGAGGAGAAGCGAGGCCGGTGTCTGTGGCAACCCAGATCTTGGCAGCCTCCCCTCGCTTCCCACCCCCTCTCTCACGCCCCCAGACTCGACGCGAGAAGCACTTGAAAGGTGCTGGAGACAGTTGGGGAGATGGATGAGTAATCGCACCTTCCGCCTCTCGGGTTGCAGGAAAACCACTTATTCACTGCACAACTATTTACTCAGCAAGGTCAGCATTAGCATGCTTCCCCTGGCAGGGCTCACAGAGGGAGAAGATGAGGAGGAATTCAGTGTGTCACACCAAGACAGACACCCACGGGCCCCCCGCACACCCTCCCATGCGTGCAAACACACACACAGTGAGCTCACTCCTAATGCAAGTGCTTGGAAATGGCACTAAATCAGCAGTTTATAAAAAAAAAAAAAAAATCAAAGGAAAAAAAAATAAAAAGGCAAAAAGAAAAGAGGAGGGGGAAAGGAGAGGGGGAAACACTCAAAAGAATGAATTCAGTACAATCTGGAGCACTCTGGACATTCTAAAGCATTAGTAGGTGGGAGTCATCCCCACTGCTTAATTGCACCAGAGCAACTGCTATCTTGGGAATATTCAGTAAGGGAGGGGGGCAGCATCCTGGTTTTTACTCCAAATTAAATCCGCCCATCAAAAGCCTGTTCTGTACTTAGCTTGAATCAGATGTTTAACCAGTTAGCCAACCCACAAGCGCAGATGAAGTTACATTTGTTCTTTGCTCTTGACAAAGCAGGAAGAGCCAACCATAAAAGGAGTCTCCGGGTCTTACATAAGCCAGGGAAAAAGGATTCCCTAATCCGAGAGAGTTCCCCGCCGGAACACCCTCAGAGGTGTGCTGAGGACATCTGGGGCTTCTCATCCCCTCTCAGTGACAGTGGCCGGAGGCAGTGGGATGCTGATTCATCAGTCTCACCCAAAAAAAGGGATTTCAAGGCTGTTGGCAGCAGGGAGGTGTCTTGCCTCCGCTCAGGGTGGTGGGAAGTGTGCCAGGGAGGCTCAGGATGGATCCCCACTCCTGTGGCTCCCTGCTGGGGGGTTT